AAGACGTCGAAACGTTAGCCGAAAATAAACATCATTATCAACCCCGTGTAAGTTCATCAAGGAAAGAATACATATTGATTAGTGATATCAAGGTTCAAGGAAAGTGGGTTTCGAAACGTTTTGGATCATTTCCAAAAATTCAGAAATGAACCGCAAGGAGTGTCTTGTCATCACGCTTGACCTGGCGCCATACTTCAGGCTAATCTCATGACCTGACACAGGCACAGTTATCGCCCATGTATCACTCTGTGCGGCTGCTATCCACCAATTAACTTAAATACTTAACAAATTAACGGTAGGTGTTTAAATGGAGCTGTTTCATATGTGAATACAAATTTATTTGTTAGGTTGTATCTGCTGGGGTTATGAAAGTGTTTGGCTGAGTAGATCGCATTTCAATTTGACCTTTCCAAGCTCTGAAAAAGGCGAAACCGCCGAAACGTCAGTTATTGAATTCTAATAAATTCCTTAGTAGCAACCTCGTGTCTGCTTATTGAAGAAAAACATCGAAAAATTGATTCATCCTCAATCCAGGTTTCTTTTATCACAGATAGTTGCCTGCAATCCTGCTGAAAGGATAAAGGATAAAGCTCTCGGTGTTGATGAATCCCTGAGAGATGAGTCATGCATTCGACTTCATTAAGCACCGTTTGGATGTGACTGAATTCATATCTGGGCTTTACAATGACTCGCGGTGGCATATCGGTGTATTGAGCCAGTGCTGATATCCTCCCAGACAAGTCTGGTACCAATTTGCCGACGCCGGAGATATGGAAGGCTTGGTGAGCTATGGGCGCGGGAATCGATTCCACGTGCGTGTTGCAGGGCGCCTCCGACCACTGCGCCACATGCGCCCTCAATTCTCGGTAGTATAGTGGTTAGTATCTGTGTCTGTCGCAATTCTGTAACGATCTGATAATCTGTGCACATCAACATGTACGCTTGCTTACGGTGCGAACTATAAAACAGCATAGTGTGTTTAACGGCTTCTTCCTGGCTTTTTTTTCTTCATTTTGAACAACCAGGAACTTTTAATAAATTTCATTGATTTCTGTGGAAAACGCCACACTAACTGTGGACTGTTTTGAGTGAAACAATGAATTTATCATACAATCTACCCACACACTGTTGTTCACGTATAGAGTTTTACAGTTCAGACGAATAGAAGCTGTAGTGGAAGCAGAGTGGTGAACTGTTTGAAATCCAGAATGAAATCTATTAAGACATGACCTTTATAGAATTCATACGATGCGGAAATAACGACCACTTTCAACATTAGATCGACATATCCGTTCCCGTAGTGAATTTTGTTGACAGTTAGACAACTGAAAAACAATTTTGATCCACAAACGTTTGCCTGCAGAACAAATTTTCCGGGGCCGATGATACATGTTTTTTCACATTTTTTAGTCAAGGATAATATTTCGAACACGGAAGCAAATGAGCAAGCAGGGTTTCCTCCACCGTCAAGCGCAGCAGCTGCTGCTCTTCCGTTGGAAATTTTAGAGACTTGGATCTCTCTATCCATTTTCTGGAAGTGTTGATGCTAAGCATATTTCAATTTGAAAGAAAACTGTATAAAAACGAAATATGCAATCAACGTGGTAGAACGAATTCTCTTTTGTAAATTTAGAGTGTTTGAATTCCTTAAATACTCTAGTGTTCAAGAAATTACTGTCAATGATCGAAAAACCAAGGTGTGGCGGAGTGGTCGGAAGTACCCTGCAGCGCATACACACACACACACGGGATCGATCCCCAAGCCCATGGCCCGCCAAGCCTTCCATCCCTCTGGGGTCGGCAAATTAGTGCCAGACTTGTTTGCGAGGATAGCAGCACTGACTCGGTTCATCGGTAGGCCACCGCGAGTCATTGTAAAGGCCAGATATGCATTTAATCACCCCCAACCGTTTTTAATGAAGTCGAATGCATGGCGCATCTCTCAGGGATTGATCAACGTCGGCAGCTTTATCCTTTATCCTTTTTTTAATCTAAAAACCAGAATCGTTGCGAAAGGGTTCAACGTCTTTTTTTCTAGATTTCAGCGATTTCGTCTTTACGTTAGAGACTTTTCTCTTTCGTTCAGTTTTGTTGAATGGGAATATATTTGTGTCACAGGATGATTCATGCCACTTTTTCCTCACGCTTCTGGTATCAGTACAGAACGATCGAATGCATTGTGCATGTGCTTGTGTCTCTTATCCAAGAATTCTTAGTCGACGATGTTTCGCCGAGTTCTCATTGTAAGAATATGGACGATTACCACAAATACACTGCTTTCTCCCATTGTTGATAGTGTTTGTATGAAGTGATATTTGGTCGTGGATTGTTTTCATATTGAATTCTCGTTAATGCTATCCTTAATACATCGTCATTAATGAACAGGGCCTCAGAATTGCTTGGGAAGCAAGGATTACTAAGATCTTTCTTTATGCACTCTACATACTATTGTGTCTGCATGTGTTAACGTACGAGTAGAAAACAATCATTGAATCAATTGCGGCAGATTCGTGACAACGTGACCATTGTAGGAGTTATCCGTAGAGCTATAGTGACTTGTATAGAACTATACAGGACTCAATTTCGTTTTAATGGTTTAATTTTCTGTAAGTAATCATTCGACGACTTACCCAAAACATGTTGTGGGGGACTTTGTCCAGGAAAACCTCTATTCTGCACCTTGAAGTGCGCAGGAAAGCTTTTCTCAAACGAGTTCATTTACTGGTAATTTGACTGATAGTTCCGTGTTACTTCACTCCAGTCACTGCGATGAATCGTAGTTATTGTGTGGAATAGGGGAATATAAAAATATAAAGATATGCACTCAACATAAGCTGCAGAACACTTCCAATTGCGGACAGCAATGTGTTTGCATGTTGGACCATAGGACTGGCAAGTAGTAAGCAGTAGCATACATACAATCCATATACATGGAGCGATAGAGCAAAGTCTCCTCTACAGTTTTATCATGTTCACAATCCCTCAGATCCTCTAGTAATCGGAAAAATATCGTTTATTGGGAAAGAAAAACGCCAAGTTCGAAAAAGCTGGAAGTTAGGGAGTCGTTACGAATCTGTTAATACACAGCACCTAATATGTATTATGTGAAGTTGTCAACTTTCCAATTATTTCATTGGTCGAGAAATCATCACCAGTTAGATAAAACTGGGATGGTCACGAATATGTTAGTTGTTCAAAATTTTAAAGACTCATTGACCGACCATAACTTGAGAACGGATGACACAGTGGTAGTGATGCTGATTGTCAGGAGCATTGTGCTGGTTCGATCTCGTTCTGGGCCCACCAAGCCTCTCATGCCTCCGAGGTCAGAGAATTGGTACCGGACTAATCTAGGAAAGGTCACTCTCTGCAGTCCAATTGGTAGCGCTCTAGCACGGCTATCTCGGGACCTCAAGGAGAGTCGACTCGACCAGCATTCAACAACATTCATGGTGAAAGAAAAATCCTCAAGCAGCAGCCGAAACCACACGGAAAAACTTGGAAGACTTTCGTGGATGATCGATACGAGGAAATGAACTGAATGCGGGAAGTGCTGGCATCCGCACAGTAGGCGTGAAAGGCGGGTCGTGTGAAAATAAAGAAAAAATTGGCTATATGCAGAAAATATAACCAAACATTTGGACATTTCAGGAGGGGAAAGAATGAAACTATCGTCGACACAGTTGTTGTGTTTGTTATCTTCTTTAAGTTACGTTATATGTTCGTTATATATTTTATGCATATTTAAATGCACTCGACATCAATCACTTCTATGTAGGTGAACCGTGCGGGATGTTCGCCTCTCGATTGGCGAAGGTCAGCTCCGCTACGGTAGGCCTGTCCGTCGCCGCGATCTACATCCTTGATGTTACTAACGAAGAACGCTTTAAGCGACAAATGGTACGTCTTGTCATCATGTTTTGTCGGATATTTTTACACGAACGAGCAGCATTCTCACTAACGCGGCCGTTTTCGCGTGTCGCGCTTGTGAGAGCCCGTGTCCTCGCAGCGTGATCGGAATGCGCATTGAAATCAAGATGTACGGTCGGAACGCAGGCAGAGTACATATTGAGATCAGTGCGTGTGGTCGTGAATGTGTTAGTATGCTTAGCACATTCATAACACCGCGCAATGGTTTCAGCGCATTTGTGCCCAATATTTTCTAACGGTCCTGTCACGTAGGTTGTCAATTAAATAATAAAATAGAATAAAATAAGTAACACGGTAAATAATAATAGGTAGTAAGCTAGGTAAAATAAGATACTTGATACTTGAACGGCCCGTCCTCACTGGTTGTGCGGGTCCCGGCGTAATCTCCATTTTTCGGAGATTTGCTGGTTAAGCCATTATGGTTCCCGAGGTTAGCCTGGCCAAACTCTGCCCCAGGTCATCACCATCACGGGCAGTCGTAGCCCTTGTGGATCAGAGGGAGGTTTACCACCATGTGACTTTGATACTAGGACGGTGGTGGATCCTAGTATTGGTCTACTCTTAGCTAGGTTTCCTGATGGAAACTCCGAACTACTTCTCAGCCCTTCTCTTGGAGACCCTGCCAGGGGATGAATCTCCCGCTGTACATCGCAGTCCGACATCCAGGAACACCTCCGAGCCACGATGAGGCGGTAAACCGTTGGGAGGATAAGGTAGTCAATAAAAATAATAAGTAGTAAAAATATAGACTAAGTATTAATAATTTCACACCAAAGAATAAAACGTTGTTTATAACAGAAAAGACGTCATTACGTGAAATAACGATGAAAGGAAATTATCTTAGTGATCAATAATTCCAACTAAAATCATCGTTGCATTTTCTGAGAAATCTTATCGACAGTGCTCTTTAGAAGGAATACTTCCGCATTGCACACGCGGATCGACTTGCGGAATTGAACAAGAGGCCTTCGAGCAGTTTACCGTCTAGAAAAGCCATAATCGACGCATTAAAGGTTTCGTCAACATTATCGAAGTTTTCATGAGGATTAAGAATATTCACCATCATGTGAATGGTTTGTTCTACGTGTAATGTATTTCCAATGTTTTGTCAGAGCGATGATGTCTTCGACGTTCTGGTAATCGGTGGTGGTGCTACTGGCGCTGGAGTGGCCCTTGACTCTCAGACAAGAGGTTCATTTTTGCCGTTAATCTCTTTTCTTAGTGTTTACACTTCGACGTAAAGTAACTTCCACTCATATGTAGGGGGATTGGACATATCGGCCAACGTGAATTGATTTCAATTCACAAGGAGCGCTGCCAAAATTTAAGCGTCGTGCCATTCACCTACCATATGAAGTTAGATGACGGATTCTAGGTGTTGAGTAATTTTTTAGGCTAAATTGTTTTCTTATTGTACATATAGTACATATAGTATATAGGTTTAAAGACTGCGTTAGTGGAATTGGACGATTTTTCGTCGGGTACCTCTTCAAGGAGTACCAAATTAATCCATGGAGGTGTCAGATACCTACAAGCGGCTATTATGAAGGCTGATCTCGAGCAGTATCGCATGGTTAAGGTGTGTTTCAATTTAATAGAACGTTCCGTTCCGTTCTTCCTAAATGTTAACCTTTGTTCAAACAGGAAGCGTTATTCGAGCGAGCTAATTTTCTCGAAATTGCTCCTCATTTGAGTGCACCGTTACCAATTATGCTACCAATTTACAAGTACGTGTCCATTATTTTTTACTTGTTTGTATGATCCGACATCAAATATTTTACGGATCCCATTACTTGTTTCACACAGCCAGTTGTCTTGCATCGGTCACCCACAAAAATTTGCACGTGAGTTCGGCTGCCTAGTTGAGGATTTTATGTTCTTCATCTATGCCGTTGTATTCTGGCCGAAGAGTTCCATCCTGGATTCCTGGAATATCTTTTCTACAAAACTTCTGGGTTCTCATCAGAGACAGTCGATGATCCTTATGGATGGTAGGAAACTTTTCCCAGAAAAGTCCTGCACTGTTCTGAGGGCCTAGCAGGGATAGCGTTTTTCCTAGCTCAGAGTGAGCTCAAATTTCTTCTCTAAAGTGTATTTTCGCAGTCTTACGAACATTTGGGCACTTTTTTGAAAAAATTGTTTCTTTTATTGGATCATAAGTGATATTTGATGGTTATTGTTTAGATTATGGCAGGTTCCGTATTACTGGTTAGGGATCAAAATGTACGATTTCGTCTCTGGAAAGCGAATACTAAGAAATTCATTTTATATCAACCGATCAAAAGCAATGGAGCGGTAAGTCATTGTTTTCTAGAGAATGCATCTCATACGTCAAAAGAAAACCTTCATTAACACAGTACTTTTATAGTTTCATGCATTTCTAAGTATCTCAAGCCTTATTTACCTAGGTTTCCAATGTTGAAAAGCGAATCGTTGAAAGGAGCGTTAATATATTACGATGGGTCACATAATGACGCACGTATGAATCTGGCGATTGTTTTGACTGCAATCCGACATGGAGCAAAGGTGAGCAAAAATCCAAGCTACTGGCTCAACTGGCTTATAGTAGTACCAAGTAGCGAAGTAAATTGTAATGTATATAATTTTCAATGGTTACTAATTAACTTATATATTTTTTACTGCTTTATAGTATGTTTGAATTTGTGCGAAGCCTGTCTTAACACTGACAGTTTAACAATTCGAGCCCACGTAATTTCGGAAAATTGCGTCATGGAACTATGTCTATCTTCTAAGCTGCGCGCACCACGAATCACATGTGACCCATGCGGTTCGTTGTTCACACCTTGAAAGTACAAACGTTAAATGCATTCCTCATCTGCAGTGGTCCTTTGTTTTACTTTGGCTGTGCAATAATCGTTGAAATTGGCACAAAAGTCATGTATCTGTATCGGGAAAAGAAATTCATCCTTATTGTTTCCCTATTTCCATTGGTCACTGTGTTACTCTGTGGGTACAGAAGGTAAGAAATCACTGTAGTACTCGTGGGTACCGTGCATTTTGGGTAGTGTGTAGTACATCGTATTGCACTGGTTTTTTCGTTTCTTTTCGGAGATGAAGGAACTTCAGCTATACTCTGAAGGAGGACAACGTTTTGGGTGGAAGAGTTCGAGACACTAAAGAACCTAGTCTATGAAAAGAATTACCATTAATTGTTTCTCCACCAGTATCCTATCCCAACCAGATATAAATTGATTCTCAATGGAGACAGTGGTTCGATAAGCCTTATTGTCACACTTATTTGTCATTCGATGCACTACATTTTGATAATGTCATAAAGTGCTACATTCTCAGTTTACAAATAAAGGGTGGTAAAGTGAGATCGTGAAGTTTTTAGTGTGCTAATCATGTGAAGGTTGAGCGTCTACTCAAAGATGATCAAGGACATCTCAAGGGAGCTCATGTAAAAGACATGGTAGTTATTTACTTATGTAAGAAAATAACACAGTGCAGAGAAATGTCGTGTAGATATCTGGTGAAGAATGGGATATCAAAGCGAAAGTGGTCGTTAATGCGACTGGACCTTCTACAGATACTGTTCGTCTAATGGCCGATCCCCAAACAAAACCGATTTGTGCACCGAGCTCCGGAGTGCATATTGTATTGCCCGGTTATTATAGGTATGGTTCTTTCTCGCGTTCAGCGATTCTATGAAAGGTATCAAATGCTTAAGCTAGTCGTGTGCGATAAGTATTGCGGTGTTTTTATCTGTTTTCCATGTCAAAGAGCTTTCATAGAGGCCTCGTTTATTTTTGTTTTATTATAACAGCCCATCGAATACTGGTCTTCTCGATCCAGCTACATCAGATGGACGTGTAATTTTCTTCTTACCATGGGAACGAATGACTATTGCCGGAACCACGGACGCTCCGTCGGATGTCACGCTGTCTCCGATTCCTACGGATGCTGATGTAGAATTTATTCTTCAGGTGAGCGCAAAGTAATAATATAGTATTTGAAGAATCCAAAGCTGTTTAAGTAGTGTTATTTGGAGTTTCCGAATGTTTGTAGCAAGTCATCGGTAACTTACGCTTTCAATAATCATCAAGGAAGTCGAGATGTCACCGATAAAAGCCATCTCTGTCGCGCATTAGAGCTGCCGTCTGGGCTCCGATTACTCAAGGGTTACGACCAACATTACATATTAGATTTGACGCTCTTTTTCGTTGTTCTTTGCGAGAAAGCATTAAAAGGTGGCTCACTGGGTTTGCAGTGGCCTTTGCTCATTCTTAGTCAAGCTTCTGGATAGAAAAGTTTGACACTCAGCATGGATGAGTTGGAGACGAATCTTGCTCTCTACATCGACACAGGGATTTTCTTCCTTTTCTAGATGTATCAGGGAACAGATGACAATGTTGAAGAAGCTCAGTGAAACAGGAAAATAAGTATTTCTGCATAAATATCGGAAGAAAACGTTATTCGTGAAAAGTCCATGATGCTATGGATTAGAACTTGTAGTTCTCTGGTTACACAGAGCACATCAAATGTTTGCCTTTGGTATTATGTAAACGCGAAAAGTGCAATGAATGTGTAGTTGTGCAGGAGACGAAGACCAGAATGGAAAGCATTCTGATTTCTTAGGGAAGCTACCGATCAACTTACATACTCAAGATTTTGGTGCGCTCAATTTTTTGTCTCGATGATCTGCACACTTAACATTTCAACCGCTCCAAGAGTTTTACATATTCACAACGTGCCATTCAAAAGATATCCTCTGGAATTTGGTTGGATGTCTGCTGAAATATCGTCGATAGGTTCAGCATCTCAAAGCAGACTGGAAGGCCATGGAAACCCACTGTTCTCACAGCTAAGGATGATTTATAGATCATAGAACGTCGTTGGTAGACGTGACTATCTTCGAGGCGTAATTTCACCATGAGCGAGAGTCAGAAATTACTTACTTGGATATTTGGATGGCCCGTCCGCACTGGTTGTGCAGGCTATAACCCAATTTTCGTTCGTTTCTCTCCCGCGCAGTCGTCATTTATGGTGATCTGCTTCAGTCATGGTTACGTAATCGAGGTCCATTCCGTAATCCTGAAATCATTGCAATTTGCGAGTGTGGATAGTTGATGTTTGCCACAAACACGTCAGTCAATCGTTTGGATGGTCTTCATTTCATTGGAGTCCACTCCACTGTTGTTCTTTTCGTCCATCTATCATCCATTTTTCTTACTATGTAACCAGCCTATCTGTGTTTTTCTGTTGACGAATATTGTTCTGGATCTCGAAGATGGGTTAGGTTTCGAAGAACTTTCAAAGAAATGAATTGCGTATCCCGGCTAGACTTTGCGAGTGCCGATTAAATTTCAGAAAACATCGTTTAAATGCTTTGTGGGTGGTGCGCAAATTTCGTGACCTAGTTGAAGTAACAGCCCAAGTTTCTGCTGCATAACAGAGCGCTGGGAGGACTACTGAGTGGAAGAGGTGATGGCGTAGTTTTGAGTGCGTTAGTTGGCCCGTGGCTTCTTTGAGTGTCCCGAATATGGCCATGTTGCTTTCCTTCTTCTGTATAATTTTCCCTCCATCTTGTTCTTCATGTTCATTCAACGTCCAAGGTGCACGTGCGAGGTGGATTCTCTAGTCAGAGAACTGTCCAGTTCGATTTGTCGCCTTCACACCATGCATACTTGATTAATTGGGTCTTCATCCATTTTATGTACAGTCCATTCTTTTTTTCTATTTTCATTCAGCTCATTTGACATCGTCGCTGCTTCACTGGTAACCCTCGAGGAGACGACAATTTTCCGTGAAACGAAGAGTTGGTGGGAGTTTTTCATCAATACGTATGCCCTTCTCGTGCCAATCGAATAATTTCGTTACTCATTGCGGCAGTAAGCAGCTTTGGCAATGTGGTATTGCATTGTCGAACCCCTTTTCCTATGTGGTCGACGAACCGTAATCCGTTTTGGATGTGGTCCATACACCAGGATCCCTGTTGGAATCCGAGTTTCTCAACTAGTTGTGCCTCATCCAAGGTTTTCGATATGCGCAAAAAGAAAGTTTTGGGAAATACGCTCAACAACAGTATTAGACAGTAGTTACGAAGATCCTCTCGATCACCTTTTCTTGGATATTATGACTGTGAGGTGCTTCACTGGTCTGAGATTTTCTCCTTCTGAATGTATGTCGTTTGCCTTGCGAGAAGTACATGTAATTTGTGGCCACGAGCTCAAAGGAAACCGGCGGTGATATTATCGAGTCCTGGAGCTGTACCGCTCTTCATGCTTTCTATCGCAACTCAACATCAGAGGCTAGAATCCCAGAAGGTTTTTCATCATCGGTTGTTTCGGGGTCCAAAACAGAGATTGCAAGGCAGAAAACATTGACATAGAACCTTTCCGTTATCAATTCCATGTCATGACGAGATATAGTGACAACCGTATTTCCGTTCATCAGAGCAAAAGCGGAACATTACAGCCGCAAAAATCCCGCCCGCACTTATACAAACTGGATCGTTTTTGAGCTGCTTCTAACAACTTGCCGCCTATGTTGATGTAGATCCTCCTACAAAGATCTTCTGCAGCTGAAATTTCTTATCATCTGTGTTAGATGTGTTACAGTAGGATCAAGCTTCAGTAACTGCCACGACCGACTTTCTATTAACCTCGGCATTGATCAAGTGATTTTGTTCGTATTTTTTTGAGCAAACGCGAGGTGTTATTGTTCTTTGTTCACGATTAAGCTGACGTTTCGGCGAATTTCGCCTTCTTCAGAGCCTGGAAAGGTCAAGTTGATAGCAACTCACTCGGCCAGACGCCTCCATGACCAAACAAAGAAACCCCAAACCAAGATTTCAATCACTTTGAACACAGCTTTGCACACTCACCGCTTTCTATGAGGTCTCCACTAAGTATGTCACGTAGAGACCAACCGCACAGAAATCACGTGGAAGTATAATGTGCCCCTCACATCAGAAAAGCAGTTTTATATACTGCCCTATATCACGCGTGATAATGAGGCATTCTTCCCTGCGGTTCATTTTCGGATTTCTGGAATTAATCCAGAGTGCCTCGGGGGTTTTTCGCGCCTGTGTTC